GATATTGACACACAAACACATGATTTCACAAGTGAGATTCGCGAGAACATCAACAATTGGGTGAGGGATATTAGGGACAAAGTGGAAAGTTCGGTATGTTCTTATAATTAAATTCTTAGTAGCTTATTATAAATGCTTACCATTATTTATTTAAAAAAAAAATTAAATCACATAAATTTTTTACTTCTAGAATTAATGTACCATTTTATATTAATAGAATACTTTCATTCATCAGTTCCGTTCCTACAATTACACAAGTGGGAGAGAATCATGGAGCCTTAAACTTGTGGCATCTGACATCTTGCACAAACTTAACAAGTGGGTAAGGCAATCTTCAACTTCTAATTCATTAGTTGCAATTACAAGCTATGTTATACATACAAAGTGTTGCAAAAATAATGCTTAGGCGCCAATTAATCGGAGCCTAAGCTAGGCTCTAAGCACTGGTCGGCCGCCCAGCATATCACTATAATTGGTGGTCTAGGCGGTCGATAAGGCCGTCTAGACCGTCTAGCATATCACCATAATTGGTGGTCTAGGCGGTCGATCAAGTCGTCTAGACCACCTAGCATATCACCATAATTGGTGGTCTAGGCGGTTGATCAGGCCGTCTAGACCGCTTAGGCGCTGACTGCCTAGGCCACCTAAGCACCGATTAGGCCTTCTAAGCACCGATTAGGCCACCTAGTCAGTTGATTAACTATTGTTCTTCTTTTTTTAATAATGGATTACTTCACTTAAAACAACATCGTTTAGGCTAATATTTAATATTAACAATTAAAGTATTATTAGTCTTTTTTTTTTAAATACTCATGATTCTTTACAAGGTAGTATCTGTTCTATACTTTCTCAAACATTTTTAACACAAAGAATCTAAGCCCCCATCACCGGGACCTATAACCATCCATTTGGATGGGTAACCGGGATGCCATCACACTACATGATAGTTGGCAATTATATATTAGTCTTTTAAAAATATAAAAATTTTAAATAAATTTAAAAAAATATATAAAATATAAAAAATGTATGACCGTCTAGGCGCTGATTAATTATCGTCTAGGCGCCCGAGAGGAGTGCCTACCGTTTTTTCAGCCATGGTTATAGGGTTAAATTATCTTGTGGTCTTGCACTAGTGAAGGTTATTATATTACACTGGATTTGATCTTTTTATCGTTTAAATGAACTTTGTATTAAATAGTAATAAAACATTGTTATTCCCCTATTTTTCTTTGAACAGATTAATAATGAAGAGTACATTTTCTTATGTGGAGGCAATGACAATAAACAAGTACAAGAATTTACACTAAAGATACAGGAAGTTTGTTCCAAAACTCGAATGAATATGAAAATCACCAACATTGGAAGAAGTGAAAAGGTAAAGGTAGAAATGGAAAAGGGTGTGTGGTCTTGTATTTTCTTCTTCAGAGATTAAGAAGTTTTGGAGACAACTTCAGAGCATGGTGTTTGGAACACTTGTATTAGGATTTTGATGATACCAATGTAACCTAGAATGTAGACCCCTAACCTTCGTTATTTTTAATCGCTGCTTTCGTTCTATACGAAAGTTGCCATAACTCACGTTGTAATTCGTGTTAAGCTAGACAAACACACGAAAACGAGTTATGTTTATTTATTAGGGCTATCAAGACGAAAAAGAGACTCAAAGCACGAAGTCAGGAGCATCAACAACGAAAGATCACCAAAGGTTATCAACCACCTCGTAGAGACAGTTATCATTATGACGATTCATCAAGACATTCATTCTCTTCAATAACAAGAAGAATGTCACTACTGTCTGAGTTGACTAACAATCCTAGGAACAAAAGGACCTCAACATGTGGGACACGCATACCAAGGAGCATTAAATGAAGTTGTACCATTCTTCTGAAGCTAAAGGACAAAACCCTAAGGCTATCCATGCTCTCAACGCGCGGCTACATGGTACAAACCACATTAATGGAGCATTTAATGCAGCAAGCTCCCCGGTCCTTACCCACTGGATAATATGTTTAAAATTTCATCTCCCTCCAACGGATGAAATTTTCCTCACCTATATAAACCCACCTTCATCAACTAAGAAGGTGCTGGTTCTTTTCACTCGATAATACTATCAAGCAAAAGCTCTTAAACAATCTCAGTTCTCATCAAGCTTTTGCGAACCAGTGTCAAGGCGTGAAGATATTTGAAGAAGCTCATTATTTCTCATCTTCCACCTTGAAGAAGTCTTGCATCTTATACGAAGCAATCATCCTTCATTCAGTCAAGACTTCACCACGTTGGAGAAATCATAAATCATTTTCTACCAACCTCAACTCTGAAGAAAATGTTGATAGAGGCGGAGTAAACTCGTGGAGTTGAAAAACCTACAGGAAGCTGTCCAGCTTAGTGATCAAGGAAGCTTTCGTGTATTTGTACTAACGAGTGATAGTGCAAACCTTCCATAAGTTGTGGAAGAAGAGTGGAAGTAGGCAAAGTTGGCCGAACCACTATAAAAACTCTCGTCTCCTTATCTCTTTATTTTCGCGCTTTACTATCTGCATCATATCATCATTCGCCCCCAAACCGAAAGTCTCATTAAAACATCAAACTGTGCAAAGTAATTAAAACGAACCTAATATTTCCGCTGCGCTGTAACACCGAAAGGTTGTTATTTGGCAAAATCTGAAAAGAGTTTATTCACCCCCCCCCCTCTAGACTCTCGTTATAACCCTACCGGGACCAACACATGGCCTCGTCTAGGATTCAATATTTAATTTCGATGGGGTTTGGGGAAAAGAATGATGAAATTATGCAAGGACTCAAAAAATTATTAGCTTATGAAGCTGAAGGTTCAACCGTCGGATTATGGGCTTTGTTAAGCAAAGGAAACAGAATAATTGCATGTGATATGGGAGATAAAATGTTTGGAGTCATGAATGAGTACGAGAAATGGAAAGACTGCGGACAAGCAAAAGGTTTTGAGCAGGCATTTAGAGATTGCTATGAGATGCTTAGTTATTCCTCTCGTACTTCATACCAACACCCTTGTTGTTCTCTCAATTATCCTTCGAATTTTGACAAAATCCTGGACACCGAGTCATGCCCTCAATATAATCACAGTATGTATAAATTTGTCACTTTCTCTTGTTGTCATACTTTTATAGAGTATTAGAGTCAAATAGAAAAGGCATTGAAAGTGTATATGTTCTATCTCATGCCATTTGATATTGAATTGGTTCCTCCTAACATGTGTTTTGTCCTTGATTGAATTAAAATTTTATAAACCCCTTCAAGTGTTGATATGGCTTCTGCCACTAAGCTAGCTAGTGTGCTGGTATCACTGTGTGTGCTTTCTGGTTTATCAACCACATCAATTAATCAAATCTCATTTTCTTAACATTTTTTTTTTTTTGAATGTGGAAGAAAAGCCACAACTATTATCCGATGATGTGCACAGTGTAAATCTCGCTTTATAACTCTAAAGATAGATGTAAATTAATAAAGTGATTGATTTGTTCCTTGAGGGATCAAATCTGATTTCCGGGGCTTTGCTGCTTCGAGATTTATTCATTCATAATAAATCTATACTTTGCTTAAAAAATAAATAAAAAAAAAGTTTATTTACCTACAATTCAAAACTAATGAACTTATCAAGACAAGGTTAATTAGTATTATTTGACATAATACATTTATTTTAAAAAGATTATGTACTAACAAATGTAAATTTGTGTACATACAGTTAACAGATTTTGTACTTATTACTATAGATCGAGATTAATATTGACCGTAAAGAAAAAAAAAGCTCGCTATTGTAAACAAAATGATGTCATTTTGGACAGAACCTATAATGCAAGGTAAGCTCGGTCCACGATATAATTTGCATCATGGTTCTTATTGGACTTTAATTTAAGAAAATTTGATATCTTATCCGTTCAACTAATAAAGAGAGAACAACGGGGTGTGTTTTAATTTCTCCCTTAGAAAATGAGCTAAGGGAAAATACTTTGGTTGCTAAGTTTAGATCATCAGAGCATGGTCTTGTCTAGGCGCAAATCTAACATTTAATTAAGATTAGACTTGACGAAGGTAGGGATGAAATTATGCGAGGTTGCTAAAATTATTAGCATACTAAAGTGGAAGTGTAACACTTGGAATATTGACAGTGTAATCATGAGTAGCTACATCAGCTATATAATCTGCATTATATATATTGTTGCACTTTTATGTATAGTGTATTAGTTATCAATATTTAAGAATATGTGATGTGCTTGTATACTTTTTGTTTTTTTTTTTCCTATATGCAGTTCAAACTCCTATTTCATTGATCTGTCTACAATCTATGCAGGAAGAAGTGTGATGGAGATAGTTTCTAAAGAGTTAAAAATAAAAGAAATTCCTTTATTATTTTTTTTTTTTGAATGCAGAAATTCCTTTATTTAATTCTTTTAATTCTTCTATGCATTTTCAGTTCATATGTAAGATAAGTGATTTGCAAGACATTCTCGTACTTGTGATTCTATTTTGCATGCTTCTTCCACACATTTTCAGTTGATATGTAAGATAAGTGATTTGCAAGACATTCTCGTACTTGTTATTCTATTTTGCATGCATTGAAAGCAAGAAGATTAGTCATTGCATGCATTGGAAGCAATCTGTTCGTATCTATTTTCTCAATCTATTGAAACACAGAGGGTTAATATTGTCCATTTGGAAGAGTCATTTCGTACCACTTATACCACAAGGTCATTGGCAATAATCATCAATATATATCTTTATGCAATGTACCATAGTTATTCCTGGCAGCATATATCATCTTCGTACGTAGAAACCTTTACTCTTTTCTTCTTTTTTAAGTCATTAAGATACTTGAAGAGTACGTTTTTCATTTTGATTCTTCCGATGATTACCTTATCTAGAAGCTAGGTATTGAAGTTAGCTCTTCTACAAGAGATCATCAATTCATATACTATATATATAAGACCTAAATGAACGCAATCCTTGATGAAAACAAAAATTCAAGATTAATTCTCTTCTTCATATCTATTACACATGACAAACCAAGTTCTATCTGTATCAACAACAATGGTTTCACAAAACCATGTCATTGATACTGAGGAGGCGATTATCATGGAACACGTTAAGGCTACACATAATCCCAGAGGTGAAATGGATGTCGATGCAAGTTCTATTCTCGATTTTGTTGATGACATCTTCAATTCCGATACGGTTTGTCAATATACTCACTATTTATAATTGTTTCTTGAAGTATTTTTAAAATTATTGGACAAAAATAATTTTGATACCACTGCATGCACCTATAATGAATGAAATTTGTCATACAATCACTCAAAAGCATTGCATGACACAACTGCTTAGCATTATATATTATAGAAGTAACATGTAATTTCATGTTAAATTAAATAATCATAGCTTCTAAAGATAAATTTCTTAAATATATGGTACGTCTTAATTACAATTCTACATAAAAATAGTTTCATTCTGATTTTTATCGCACTAACTTGTTTTAATGGAGTATGAGTTTAGATTCCTCTAAAAGCAACGCAAGACAAGTTAACTCTAAAAGAGTACATCCAGAATGAGATTTCATCTCATGTATTACAACTCTCCTTAATGGTATGTTGAAAACATCCCTTCTCACATAGTTTTATGCGTTCAAATTATTAATTTTAAAATTTTCTTTTCTTTTTCAGGTAGCGTGTAGTTGTTTAAATAATGTTGATAGTCACTCAATAGCAATTTGTCTACTAACTACACTATCAGTGTATCCATGGCACACTAAGGCAGTAATGATGCTCACTTCATTTGCGATCATCTATGGAAAATTTAAAGTTGTCTCACAATCACGCCAACGCAGAGAATTGGCCTACAACTTGGCTCTTTCAAAGCAAATGTCTTCCTCTAACCCTAAATATTTAGAGGATAACTCAATAAAGTCTGCCTTAGATCTCGTCAAGCTTATGGTTGAGCTTAAACATTCATCTCCTATGATTGTGGCTAACTATTGGATAGCAAGATTTGTTGTTGCTTATACCAGACTTTGTATTTTGGACCCCGAGTAAGACCATTTAATTTAACTTTGTGTAAATTATATTTATGTTTGTACGTAGAGTTCTTCGTTAAATCTAATTTATGCCCTAATCTTTATAGGTAATTAGTGTATGTTAATATCTCATATAAATATCTATAAATCAAATAAATAATATAAAGTAGAAAATATTTCAATATATTAATTTACATTGCACAACAACACATGTAAATTGGGTTAACTAAGAATCATTCAATGCACCCAAAATAGGTTAATTGATATTTATTTGTTTTAATTAATTACTATTATATTTTTCTTCATTTTTAGGTCCCAAATTCAACTATCTGAGCAGTCCAAGTTATCCACCAAAATCAAAGAGATAATGGCTTCTAGCCACTCACTACTAGGTTCGTCCAATACTTGATGATTTGATCTATAGTTAGAAAATTTTTGTGATTATAATTAATGTATATAATATACCATTTATAATGCCAAACTTGAAGTGTGTATAATTTAATGAAGAGTTAGTCAATATGGTTGACGATGAATAGCCTATGTTACACTCAAAAAAATATACGAAGTACAATTTATAGTGTATTCAAAGTTATTATAAATTGACTTAAAAAGTTAAAACTTTATTATGCAAATAAATAATCCAAATTTTTAAATAAAAAATTGGAAAAAAAAGTAGTATAAATTATTAATTATAAAATCACAAGAATTTTTGACTCTAAAACAATACCTCTCACAACCAGCGACCTCACTTCAGTTGTATATTGGCTATGCCATAGATGCCTACAGGGCACGTATCGTTTCTTTTAATTATTGTTCAGTTGTTTACATTCCTAGATCAGAGAACTATTTAGCTCATATTTTAGCTTCGTCTACTTCTAGTCAGCCTGCTATTATGTATCGGGACTCTGTCCCGCCACACACTATTTCGCAGTATTTTGAATAAATGCCATGACGGCTCCTTTCAAAAAAAAAAAAAAAAAATCACAGCAATTTAGTTAAATAGATTTGGGGGTGTTTGGCAAATGAATGATAGATGATTGGATTAGCTGGTTGATAGTATTAGTTGGTTGTAAAAAAGTGTTTGGTAAATTAGTTTATTTTTAGCTGATTGAATTTAAAATGACTTTTTTTTTTAATGTTACTAACTCTATTACAATGTAGTATCTGTTCATAACTATTTTCTCAACCTACTGAAGCACAAAAAGTCAATAACACATCCAGTGAGGCTAGAACTCACAACCTCCTATATATGAGTCCAACCTAGGTGCAATTAAACCACAAGATCTTGGCAAATGTAAAATGACTTATAAAGGCATAAACATATTTTGCTATATTATTAACACTTAAATTACTTTTATAATTTTATTTATTTATTTATTTATTATTATTATTATTATTATTATTATTATATTATTATTATTATTATTATTATTATTATTATTATTATTATTATTATTATTATTATTATTATTAACAAGGATATGTGAAATCAAAAAGAAAGAAAAACATTATTATTGTTGTTATCGAAACAAAAAGAAAAGGGGCAAGACATATAAACAACAACAAGGGAGATATAAATGCTAGGGATGACAATGATAAAATGATCATTTCACAATTAAGGTCAATCAGTTAATAGAAAACTTTACTCCTTTTTTTTTTTTTTTTTTTTGAAAACCAAGAATATAATTGCATTAAATCAAATGTTCGATACAACTCGGAATAGAAGAAGTCCAAATAATGGGACCAGATTGAGAACGAGCCGCCCTAGCCAATGCATAAGCAACTTTACTCTTTTTAATTTTTCATATTTTGACAATATACTTTCTCTAACTACTACTGTCTAAAGAGTCAATACCCCAGCATAGGGGTTCGATTCTGTGACCTTCCTCAAGGGGAGCCATAGAGGTGCCATCTGAGCATAAGGTGTTTGGACAAATTTGACTTCCAACCAAAAATTAAAATAGCTTATTGACCAATCAAACCAGCCAAAATTGGCTTTCAGCTGTGTTACCAAACACCCCTTTTACCAAAAACTAAAGTTCAGTATACTGATGGAAGAATAGCAACGAGATTAATTATGTTTTTGTGTATATATGCAGAGGCAAAAAGGGCAGAAGACGAAGTAATTCTTGATCTCAAGTGGTTGCTGGAGGTATGTTAAGCTAGCCTTTGTTCTTACTTTTCTTATCATGCATGTATGTGTAAAATACTACAATTAATCTGATAACCTCCAAACATTTATCTTGTATATTAGAAACTTGATCGTGGATTATTACAAAAGGAAATTTCCCCATGTCGATTAGATCTGTTTCGAGGGAAGGAAGTGTTATTACTAATATCATCTGGCAGACACTTCCCCTCTTATGTATATAATGCGCCTAGAGGAGTACAGATGATTTGGGTTCGTATTACAAAGGTTGAGAAGATGGGCCTACAAATTATTCATAGTTTCGGAAGGAGTGTAATGGTTCGTCACAAACCGGTTGCACAAGTATTCAGAAAATTTCTTGAAGATAAATGTTTCCCAATTTTTCAAGTCGGGGGTGATCCTATCGTCATTTCACTGGACAAACGAGGAAGGTTGGTTCATTATAATGCGTTGCACATGATACTGACATGGAGATATCAACTATATGAAGAGACAACAATGAACCATGATTTACTCCCTTCGTTAGAAAATGAGTTGAGGGAAAGGACTTTGGGTGCTGACCGTGTGATTGGTGATATTGACAAACAAATACACGACTTTGCTAGCCAGGTCCGCAAGAACATCAACAATTGGGTGAATGATATTAAGGACAAGATGAGAAGTTCGGTATGTCTATCTTATAATACGTAGTATCTTATTATATATACTTATGTACTATTATTTATTTTTAAAAAAAAAATCACTAAAAACTTTAATACTTTTAGAATGATATCATTTTATATTAATAGAATATTTTTATTCATCAGTTTCGTTCTTACAATTACACAAGTGAGAGGGAACAAACTCTAAGTGGTAAAGAATCATGGAGCCTTAAACTTGTAGTATCTGACATCTTGTACAGATCCAAAATTGATAAGTGGGTAATTCCATGTTCAGCTTCTAACTAATTAGTTGCCTAAGCTAAGTAAAGATTGTTACTCTGTATTTGATATTTTATTCTTTAAATGAACTTTGTATTAAACATTGTTGCTCCCCTATTTTCTTTGAACAGATTGATGATGAAGAGTACATTTTCTTATGTGGAGGCAATAACAATAAACAAGTTCAAGAATTTATACTAAAGATACAGGAAATTTGTTCCAAAATCCAAATGAATTGGAGAATTGTATACATTGGAAGAAGTGAAAAAACATTATTTGATGAGGATGTGAGAAGGATGTGTGATTCTACAGTCACTTCTGAGCAAAGGATTAAGGAATTTTGGACACGACTTCAAAGCATGGCCTCGTCTAGGATTCAATATTTACATAAAATGGGGCTTGACGAAGGGAGTGATGAAATTATGCAAGGCGTCAAAAAATTGTTAGTTTACGAAGCTGAAGGTTCAACAGTTGGAGTATGGGCTTTATTAAGCAAAGGGAAAGGAATAATTGCATGCGATATGGGAGATAAAATGCTCGGAGTCATGAATGAGTACGAGAAGTGGAAGGACAATGCACAAATCAATGGTTTTGATCGAGCATTTAAGGATTGCTATGAGATGATGCTTAGTTCTTCCTCTTCTACTTCATATCAACACCCTTATTGTTTTCTCAATTATCCTTCTAATTTGGAGAAAATCCCAAACACCCAGTCATGCCCTCACTGTAATCACAATATGCATAAACTTGTCACTTTCTCATGTTGTCATACTTTTGTGGATCGTCCGCGTGAAAGAGAATTTTTATTTCATGTATGAAGTCAAACAGAAATTAAATGACATTGAAAGTGTATTCTCATACCATTTGACATTGGTTACGTTCCTCCTAATATGTGCTTTAATTTGTCCCTTGATTATTGATTCATCATGGTTGAATTAAAATTTTATCAACATGATTTACATTAAAGTCATACATGTTTATATAGACTACAACGTAAGTTATGAACTTTCACAACATCATAAGTCTAATGATATTCCCCGATCCGATCCATCGACTCGATTCATACCTAGGTTTCAAACAAAAGATTGTTGAAAATATGTTGTGCGTGGACCATTAGTTATACCTTTTGGCATAATAGTAAGGGTTTAAAACATGACTTTATAATGGTAAGCGCTTAACCATGTCCCATTGAAAACATGAGTGTGATTTACCTCTCTTATATACAATTCAGCATCATAATGGCATAAAGAAGTGAAGAAGCATCCTAAATTTTAGCATTTCATTCGATATTAGCTGTCATCAAGATTTTAACATGAATGTCTTCATGGAGAAGAATACATACATATATACGAGGTAACTAGAAAACAAAGCTGAAGCTACTTCATTGGAACAGAACAATTGAAAGTAGATAACATGTTAGGCTGATGTACTATGTAGTTGAGCTTTGTTCTTTACAGGTTACAGAAAGTATTTCATTCGGTCATCTCGCCTCATCGCGTTGTATACAGCTTGAACCTGAAAACCACAACCGAATCGCATCATCAAACCTGCAAATTCTTTGATCTACATTTCAAACGGATTCTTAAGTTTCTTTCGTAAAGAAGGATTCGGGCATATGTTGTCGTTTTAGCCTATGTTGTCTCTATACACACACAATCATGCACAAGAGAGAAAGAGAGCGAACCTTGCCCCCCGAGGAAACCTTCTTCTTCACCTGCACCTGTGTTTTTGTTTTCGCAGGTCATGACAATTGCGTTTCATTCATTCAAATAAAAATACGGAAGCTTGCGATTCTTCAAAGTGCATACTAGTACCAAAACTTGATGGAGTGATGGCATGATCCTAATCATCAAAGGAAATAGGCAGCAGCTGGTTTCCAAACAGTTGAAGGCTAAGCAGTTGTAGGTTGTTAGTAAGAAGGGCAATCTTGTCTTTTCCCCTAAAATGGCAGTTATAACTACCATTCTCTTATCTTGCTCTCGTATATAGCCTTGGCTCTGCTTCCTTGTTAGAACTGATAGTTCTTTATCATCTTGTATCAAACAGATCATTTTCATCAATATAATTCTTCTTCTTTATCTAATTCATCACTCCATTGTGAACTAAAGGAGTGATTCTATCATGGTATCAGAGCGGCATAGGAGCTACGCAGCAGCTGTTACGATGAACAATCAAGCCGGAGAAGGAACTTCCACTCATCAGAATGCAAGTCCGAATGAGCAAAATCCAGTAGCAGCTCAACGAACAGACGAATTTGATGATCCATTATATTTGCACATCACAGAGAATCCCAACTTGGTTCTCGTCTCTCCTCCCCTCTCCGAAATCAACTATACGTCCTGGAGTAGGTTGATGCAAATGGCCTTGGAGGTCAAAAACAAGTTCGGCTTTGCTAATGGGGCGATTCCAGATCCAGGAGTAGCTCATCCGAAGTATGCTATGTGGAAACGATGTAATAATATAGTATGTTCGTGGATTTTGAGATCCCTCAACTCCACGATTGCTGAAAGTGTGCTATATTTCGAGAAGGCTGCAGATATCTGGAGTGCTCTCCAAAAGAGATACGCACAGGCAGATCCACATAGGATCGCAGAGATCCAGAATCAAATTTTCAGGTGTGTGCAGGGAAACATGACAATCAATGAGTACTTCACCAAATCCAATGGCTTATGGGAGCAGCTGAATGTCATGAGGCCATTACCATCTTGTGAGTGCGTGCCTAGGTGCTCGTGTACCCTGCTGAGTAAAATACAGAAAGAAAGGGGAGATGATCAGGTAATCAGGTTCTTGGAAGGACTGAATGATGATTTTGAGACATTAAAATCAGGTGTGTTGGTAATGGATCCCATTCCAAGTGCAGAAAAGGTGTTGAATATGGCCTTGAAATTGGAGAGGAAGTTCAATAGCTCTCTTAGCTATAAGAACATTGAAGTAAGTCAGGCCAATGCTATGTAGAATACTACAGATGAGCAGAATGTTGTGGCCTTCTCAGCCTCAAACAACAGAAAGAAGTTTGGCAATAATGGCATGAATGTGCCTAAGTGCACCTATTGTGGCATGATTGGCCATACAGTTGAAAAATGTTACAAGAAACATGGCTTCCCTCCAGGCTGGGTAGCGGGATACAAGTCCAAGAATAAGCAAGATAATCAACAAAGTTTGAATGCCTATTCAAATGCTTCATCTGTGAGCCATGGGGATGATATAGGCCTGTCTGCTGATCAATTTCAGAGACTGGTGTCTTTATTGCAGAACCAGAATCAAGGAAATCCTTCATCAAGCAATGCAGTAGTTACTATCAGTAGCCATGGGATGAAGCCAAGTTTTAAGAGCTCAACAGATTCCAATGAAGGCAGGTGCAATTCTAAACTATGTGTTAATGTTGTTTTGAATTCCCCCACTACATGGATTCTAGACTCAGGGGCTACAGATCATATTACCTGCTCTTTGGATTTCTTTGAGAAATATTATAGAATTCATGATGTTTTTGTTAAGTTGCCTAATGGAGAAACTGTAGCAGTCACACATATGGGAGAAATCAGGCTTCACTCCAATGTTCTGTTGAGAAGTGTATTGTTTATTCCTTCTTTCACTTTCAACATTATATCTGCTAGTAGACTGACAAAACAAATGAGATGCAAACTGGTGATGAATGCTGATTGTTGTGATATACAGGGTCTACTTGGAGTAGTGGATGGTTTTGCTAAAGAAAAGGATGGGCTGTATTTGCTTAGTCATCCACCTGTTAGAAAGAAAACCAATTGTATTGTTGAAAATGTTGACATTCAATGTAATAATGTGTCCCTAGAAGTGTGGCATGATAGACTAGGGCACTATCCCTTGGATAAAATACATTTGTTACATGGAATAAAACATGCAAAGTCTCACAAACATTCTGATCTTGCATGTGATATCTGTCATTTTTCTAAACATAAGAGATCTTCTTTTCCTACTAGCAGTTCTAGAGCTCTAAAATGCTTTGACTTGATTCACATGGATGTATGGGGCCCCTTTCCTGTTGCATCCTTAAAAGGAGAACACTACTTCCTGACTATTGTTGATGACCACAGTAGGTTCACATGGCTGCATCTCATGAAGGCTAAGTCAGAGGTAAAGAGTATTTTTAAGGACTTTTATCAATATGTGTGTAATCAATTCTCAGCAGGAATCAAAGTGGTGAGAACAGACAATGGGACTGAATTCTTCATGAAGGAATTCTTCAGTGAGAGAGGAATCATCCATCAGAAATCTTGTGTAAACACTCCTCAGCAGAATGGCATTGCAGAAAGAAAACACCAGCATATCATGAATGTGGCCAGATCCCTTAGGTTCCAATCTGGATTGTCTATGGAATTCTGGGGGCATTGTGTCCTACATGCTTCCTATCTCATCAATAGGTTGCCTACTGCAGTGGTTAATGGAAGCACACCATTTGAAATCTTGTTTGGTGAGACAGTAAACTATGAGCAGCTTAAAGCTTTTGGATGCTTATGTTTTGGTGCCACTGCCCCTCAAGGGAGAAACAAAATGGAGCCAAGAGCCAGAAAATGCATTTTCTTGGGATTCCCAGCTAATGTCAAAGGCTACATACTATATGACATGGGAGATGGTACTATCTTTGTTTCCAGAGATGTACATTTCTATGAACACATCTATCCTCTCAAGGACAAGGTTGTTGAGGCTAACTCTGATTCATTTGGTATTGGATTATTTAATCCTTGTTTGCCTTCTATACCTGTATCTACTGAAGTGCATAAGAACCTTCCTGAGGCAACAGGAGGGTGTGATGATACAGAAAGGCTTGATGACACCATCTATATTCCAGAAGGTCATGAGAATGGTCAAGTTGATATCACTGATGGAAGTGAAAATGAGAATGAATTAGCAGCAGAACCAAACAGTGATACAGTATGTGAGGAAGTCTCACTAGCTGAGGAAAATGAATTGTACACTGAAGAGGCATCACATTTGGAGCCTAGGAGGTCTGGAAGGGCAAGGCAAGTTCCCACTAGACTACATGATTATTACTGCCAATCCATCAATGGAACACTGCCACACAAAAGGACCTCCCCTCATTCACTGAGCAAAGTCATATCCTATGACTGTTTATCTTCCAGCCATAGGATGTGTGCCTCAGCCATTTCATCCACACAAGAGCCACAATCTTATAGTGAAGCAGTGAAAGAAGAACCTTGGAGGAAAGCCATGCAGGCTGAAATAGAAGCCTTGATTGAAAACAACACTTGGGAGCTGACTGACTTACCAAGTGGAAAGACTCCCATTGGATGTAGATGGGTATACAAGGTGAAGCATAAGGCTGATGGATCAGTGGAAAGGTATAAAGCCAGGCTTGTAGCCAAGGGATACACTCAACAACTTGGAGTAGACTACATAGAGACCTTCTCACCTGTAGCCAGAATGACAACAATAAGAACTTTTCTGGCTGTGGCTATTGTAATGAAGTGGGAAATTCAGCAGTTGGACATCAACAATGCCTTTCTACATGGTGATCTAGAGGAGGAAGTTTACATGCTCTTACCTCCTGGTTTCAACAGTAATAAACCTAAGCAAGTATGCAAATTGCTAAGGTCTTTGTATGGTCTAAAACAGGCTAGCAGACAATGGAATGCAAAACTGACAGCTGCCTTATTACACTATGGTTTCCAACAGTCCATGGCAGATCCATCCCTTTTCACCAAAGTGGCAGGAAGTTCTTATATGGCTCTCCTTGTCTATGTTGATGATATCTTAGTAGCAGGAACAAATTCCACTCAGATTCAAGAGCTAAAACAGATGCTAGATAAGTCCTTCAAAATAAAAGACCTTGGCAGCTTGAATTACTTCTTAGGCTTGGAAGCATTCAGAACTCATGATGGCCTTAGCCTTTGCCAAAGGAAGTATACTTTGGAAATCTTGGAGGAGAATGGTTTTTTAGAAGCTAAACCTACTAGCACACCAGCCACTGCAGGACATAAACTCACCAGTGAGGCAGGGACTTTGCTTGACAGTCCTGAAATCTACAGAAGATTAGTTGGCAAGCTCTTATATCTAACTAACACCAGGCCAGATATTTCTTATGCAGTACAACAATTAAGTCAATTTATTGATAAGCCTAGAAGTACACACTTGGTTGCTGCTCACAAAGTTCTAAGGTACCTCAAGGGATCCCCTGGAAAAGGCCTATTTTTCAACATGAATGCTCAATTGAAGTTGCAGAGTTATTCAGACTCTGATTGGGCTACTTGTTCTGAGACAAGGAAGTCTATAACTGGTTTTTGCATCTACCTTGGCAGCTCCCTAATTTCATGGAAGACAAAGAAACAAGCAACCATCTCAAAGTCTTCTTCTGAGGCAGAATATAGGGCCTTAGCCTCAACTACCTGTGAGATTCAGTGGCTTAATTACTTGCTGGCAGATTTGAAAGTTCATCTTGATAGTCCAACTACTTTGTTTTGTGATAATCAGTCAGCTATTGCTATTGGGGAGAACCATGTGTTCCATGAGAGAACTAAACACATAGAAATAGATTGCCACATTGTCAAGCAAAAGGTAAATGAGGGTGTGATTAAGCTCATGTCTGTTCCATCCACACAGCAAGTTGCTGATGGTTTCACCAAGGCTCTACCAAAATCAGCTTTTAACACCTTTCATTGTAAGTTGGGCCTTCAAGACCTTCATGCTCCAGCATAAGGGGAGGTGATGGAGTAATGGCATGATCCTAATCATCAAAGGAAATAGGCAGCAGCTGGTTTCCAAACAGTTGAAGGCTAAGCAGTTGTAGGTTGTTAGTAAGAAGGGCAATCTTGTCTTTTCTCCTAAAATGGCAGTTATAACTACCATTCTCTTATCTTGCTCTCGTATATAGCCTTGGCTCTGCTTCCTTGTTAGAACTGATAGTTCTTCATCATCTTGTATCAAACAGATCATTTTCATCAATATAATTCTTCTTCTTCATCTAATTCATCACTCCATTGTGAACTAAAGGAGTGATTCTATCAAAACTTTCTTAAAAGCAAAATCTAATCTTTCGAGACAGCCAAGAAGAGAAATTATACTCAGTAGCAAATAAGTATTTTGATCAACATGGTGCAGACAATCAAGTACATCCTATTTTAAGCTACTAGCTTATTTTGGAAACATTACAAAACAGAGCTTATAGCTTATTAGTAGCTTAAAATAAGCTATAAGCTCCTAAATAAGCTCTGTTTGAGCCGATCCTCATCCTAATCTAAACTCCTAAAATTACATTATATTATCAGTATATGACAGATTAACTGGCGAGCAAAAAACAGAATGTATATTCTACCTCGGGGATAGATTGTTGAATAACCGATTCTACAGCAACTACCATAGCCTGCACAATATCATCACCTCCAATACCAATAGCTGTAAACACCCTTTCAGATGGGTAGGAATTAACCTGCAACGTTAAAAACATACATAACTATATCTGACCCGAGAGTCGAGGACTAGTGCTCACAACAACTATCTTCCTAAATTCCATAACATTAGCACTCGTTGATATCAATGAGAAACCAATCCTCGTACCTCTAGGCATCTACCTTAAACATGGTAACATATTAAAGAAGTGTGACTATAAGAAAGCTTACCTTTTTATCCAAAACAAGCCACTCGTTAGTCGAATCATCATGCACAGTCCCTCCAATAACTACATTCGTGGTTTGCCCCCTTCCTTCTGTCTTCGACACTTTTGCAACCCCATCAATAGTTAGCCTAAATTCATAAAACCTATTCAAAAACTTTCAAAAAATGGAAAGAACGAAAACGAAAGAGTTAATTCCGGATTTAGTCATATGACTATCACTCTTAACCCTTAACTTTTAAAGCTACCAAACTAGTTATTGGTTACGAAACTGAATGATACGCCCTTAAATGCAATTATATAGCTTAATTAGGAAAAATTAATTATGTGTCTAGAATTAGAAGAATAATTAGGAATGGTACAATTTAATTAGTGAGAGAGTTAATATTGTACCTAAATTAGCATAGGGAATTATGTATATCATTCATTACCTTGTATAGTTAGTATAACTTTGGTAGGTTAATTATTATAGGTATTAGTAAATTAGTATAAATAAGTTATTGACATTCAAACAAAAAAAAAAAAAAGTTATTGTATATGAAGATGAACCACTCAGAGAAAATATATTGTTCTTCTAGTTTATTCTTCTTGGAGTCCTCACACGCTCGAAGTGTGAAAATTAGAATTTGCCGTGACTCGATTACGGTTAGGAGCCAGAAGCCTGTTTGAAAGGTTTCTTCAGTTGCGTACTAAATTTCAGTACGTAACACTGAAGGTTCAACTGTCGGAGTATGGGCTTTGTTAAGCAAAGGAAACCGAATAATTGCATGTGATATGGGAGACAAAATGTTTGGAGTCATGAATGAGTACGAGAAATGGAAAGACTGCGCACAAGCAAAAGGTTTTGAGCAGGCATTTAGAGATTCCTCTCGTACTTCATACCAACACCCTTGTTGTTCTCTCAATTATCCTTCTAATTTTGACAAGATCCTAGACACCGAGTCGTGCCCTCAATGTAATCACAGTATGCATAAATTTGTAATTTTCTCTTGTTGTCATACTTAATTTTAAAGAGTATTAGAGTCAAATAGAAAAGACATTAAAAGTGTATATGTTCTATCTCATGCCATTTGAAATTGAATTAGTTCCTCCTAACACGTTTATTGATTAATCCTGGTTGAATTAAAATTTTATCAACCCCTTCAAGTGTTGATATGGCTTCTGCCACCAAGCTAGCTAGTGTGCTGGTATCACTGTGTGTGCTTTCTGGTTTATCAACCACTGCACATCAATTAATCAAATCTCATTTTCTTAACATTTTTTATTTTTTGAATTTGGAAGAAAAGCCGCAACCATTATCCGATGATGTGCACAGTGTAAATTTCACTTTATGACTCTAAAGATGTAAATCAATCTAGCTTGTCCACAACTGAATGGATCAAATCAAGAAAATCAATATGTCATTCCTACCAACTATCAAACTTATTACAACCTTGTGGTTATATTAAATCAATATAGTACAATACTACTTGGTTGCGTTTTCAATTTTCAAACTTTGGACTCTATTACCTTGGATTCTTCATGGAGGTTTGGAGGCTGTAATGCATAAAAAACATGGGAAGGTTTTGCCTGCAACACTGACTTTATTAGCACATATTTGCTCTCTTGGGACAAATGTCTGTTCAACCACCCTTTGCACTTAGATGAGAATTTTGAGATTAAGGGTGAGAACAGATTGATTTTTATTTCCTTCCCAAGTAAATAGGGCAACCAAGGTAAATGAAAGGGAATTCTTTTTCTTGGAACTTAGTTACCTCTCTCACTCTACTCACCATCTCACTTTTTGTTTTGGGATGCATATAAAAATCTGAATTTTTAATTTTAAGTTTATTTATCTACAATAATTCAAAACTAATGAACTCATAAGTTAGTATTATTTGACATAATACATTTATTGTAAAATGATTATGTACTAACAAATGTAAATTTATGTACGTACAGTTAACAAATTTTGTACTTATTACTATAGATCGAGGTTAATATTTACCATAAAGAAAGGAATTGAAAAAAAAAAGCAAACTATTTTAAACGAAATGATGTCATTTTGGACAGAACCTATAATGCAAGGTAAGCTCGGTCCACGATATAATTTGCATCATGGTTCTTATTGGACTTTAATGTATGAAAATTTGATATCTTATCCATTCAACTAATAAAGAGAGAAAAACGGGATGTGTTTTAATTTCTTCCTTAGAAAATGAGCTAAGAGAAAATATTTTGGTTGCTAAGTTTAGATCATAAGAACATGGTCTTGTCTAGGACCCAATCTAACATTTAATTAAGATTAGACTTCACGAAGGTAGGGATGAAATTATGCGAGATGCTAAAATTATCAGCATACTAAAGTTAAAAGTATAACACTTGGAATATTGACAGTGTAATCATGACTAGCTACATCAGCTATAATCTGCATTACACACACACACACACACACACACACACACACACATACATACATATATATATATATATATATATATATATATATATATATATATATATATATATATATATTGTTAGATAATAATATTAAGGCTAAGGCTAACATAAACTGTAGTAAACGAGTAACCTGCCTCGTTACAGCGGAAGCTTTAGGATCGCCCGAATATCCCCAGCCATAGTCGTTGGTCTTGCCACGAGATGGTAAACTTGCAGAATAAAGGTTAGTGTTTTGTGTACCACTTCTCTCCCGAATACGTGATGGTGCGTGTACTGAACACGGGAGCTGTGGGAGGACTATTTTGCTTAGAAGCCTACATCCCATCAACGTAGGCAGATATTCAGTTAAAGCTTAACTGAATATCCTGAGTTGCCTAACAGATTAAGCCACTGACTTAATCTTTCACTTGCACCACAACCACTTAATTAATACAATATATTATAATATATTATATTAGGGAAAATACTTACATTCTCCCACTTGGTGCAAGTACTGACACAACCTTCATTAAAGAACAAAATACATGAACCATAGTAATACGTCATCTACTAATCAAGTGAGTAATATCTTCTATGATCACATGCATTTTAAATTCCCTAACTTAGGTTCTTTATGAACAAACCCTACGTTTATTCTTAGTCCCTTAATGGATGTTTCTCAAAATATATTATGTGCACAACTGAAGGAAGAAACCATCCAAATTCACTGTATGATCTCCAAAATCTTAGAAGCATGCCTTAAGTAGAGATCTCTTAATGTTAGCATAATGCTAACTATATTCTATGACTTGTTTATAAGTTTAACATAAACACTACCTCTAACGGCTAAGAGCTTGGAGTTGACACGTCTGTCACTCCCACTCATTAAGATAGCCAAAGGATAGTCAAGTCATAGAAACATTCCAATAACATAAACCATAAGGTCTAAGTCAATAATTTGGAATCTTAAACATACACCAACTTCCCAAATAATCTCAAGGTCCACCTTGAAATTAATTGAACATTACGAGTCTTATTATGTCTTACAAAATTGTTTTGAGCCTTACAAACCAAAAATGGCCCAGGATCAATTTTGAAGAAACTAAAGACTCTATCAATCGCTAAAGAATTTATTAATTGAAAGTGCACCACAAGTTAAATGCTTTCGTTCTAATAAATTCATTAACATTGTTACAACATTTTCATAAATATGTTGTACAACCAAACATTCAATGAAATGAACTTATGAATTATAAGAACAAAAAACTAAATTAATACTTGTGGAAACTTTTGGACTTATTGCTAGACGCACAATCCAATTTGGAATGTATGAAAACAATTAAATCCATCAGCTTTAATGGAGTATTTTAATGATCTTTTTCTAAATGATCACTCCCACTGATTAAGATATTCTTTAGCCAAATTAATGATATAACACTCATAATTGATTTGACCAACTAAATAATGAAGATATAATTCCCCACCATTAGTTGGGCATACTCCCAGGAAAGTTGGTCGAGACGAAGCTCAGTTAAATACCAACTCCTTAGACAGAGTAGCGTCGCAAGGGGACTAGTAGCAACAAGGCTTTTAAGCCAGGGCCATAGAACTAGTATTCCTCCCCAAGAAACTTCCCTAAGTCATGCATTCTCATGTTTGAAGTAAAATCGTTTGGGAGATCTATAAGATTGTAGATTCACCTATGGATAAGGCTTTAAATCAATGAACTAAATTAACGGACTAAATGTGCTCAAATTCAGGCACTACCGCAACTAAAGTTTTATGCATAGGTCCAACTTAATAAGGAACTAATATAATTCCATCCTAAAGTATGCATTTCTAAAGGCATAATAAAATTGCATAACTTAAAAAAACAGAATATTTTGCTGTGGACAAGTATGCATAAAATCAAATTAAACATTAAATTCATATATTCTAAATAAATTGCATAAACCAAAACAATTTTAAATATGAGCAATAACCTCAAAGTATACAATTAATATTCAAAACTAGTATGATTTCTAACCAAAAGAAATCCAAAATTTGAATAATAATGTAATAGATATATACTTGAAAGGTTAAAAACTATAAGCCCATGTGAAAAAGTTTTAATTGCATAAAATCAAATTTGTGAGAAACAGGCTGAATTCACAAATATCAAGCCATAGTATATGTTTATTCGTAAATAAAAAACTCACAAATCCCAACTGCATAATTAAACTTAATATTATGCACTTAATGTGACTGAAAGCATAAAACAATCTAAAGAGTATGAAAAACACCAAATGTGTATTCAATTATTCATACTTACCTAAATGTGGGCAATAATATCTAAAATCATAATTCAAATACTAAATAAATTATGGGATCAATGTATAATAATGCCTTAAAAAACATGTTTTTCCAAAATTCTGAATTGATTAAAAAATCACTCTCCAAAACTCAATTAATAGTATTATTAATGGCATAAAATTGCAAATAAACCAAAAAAAAAAAACAATAAATAGCCATAATAATAGTATTATGTTAATTTGGAGACTAAATATGAACAAACAATAGTTAAAACTTGTTAACCTTTAAAACCTTTAATTTGGAGACAAAATAAGATTATCGTTAAGACCCTGAAAACTATTAATAGATTTGTTAGGAACACTTGTATTAGGATTTTGATGATACCAATGTAACCTAGAAAGTAGACCCCTAACCGTTATTATTTTCAATCGCCGCTTTCGTCCTAGACGAAAGTTGCCATAACTCACATGTAATTCGTG